AGTGTCACAGGAAATGTTAAGAAAGAGATAAACCGCCGTTTCGTATAGATTACGCAAAACATTTGATTGCATCATATTGGATTGCCACTGCAATTGTGAAGGTGTGTGCAAAATTTCAACTTGATCGGACTTTCGGAAGTGTTGGCAATATCGACCGACAGCTTCCCACTTGATATTCCGTATAGTGACCGCCATCTTGAATATAGACGAAGTTCGTTTTTTTCACATTAAGAAAGAAAATCTTCCTTTGCCCAGGCGCTAAACTTGGATTGCCCTCTATCCATAATAAGTATATAAGAAAGAGAGAAGAAACCCAAACGCGTTAGTTATGGATGAAATTAATTAACACAAAAAAATATTTAACAAGACCTGATCTTAAATTTTGGCTTTAGCAATCATATGCGTGGGCAAACCTTGCCCCCGTTATAGCTTACGTTAAAGATTCCAACAGCGTAGAGAAAAAAGCAAAAAGTCAATCTATCTCGAACCGGGATAATTTTTTTTCTCATTATGCAAATATTGTTGCCCTCTTGTCGAGTCTCCTTTGCATAACAAAATACCGTTAAATAACGTCAATCAAATGCGTGCTCACGACACGAACAAGCCGACCTTGTAAATTGAATACATTGAAGACATTGGCAGCTTTTAATTCACATGTTTCTCAAGTAACCGATGCCTCCATTAAATAAAAGTATTCTGAAAAATTGAGTGAAGTCACTCGTCCAGATGTACTCTTGCTGCCATTTGTATTTAAGCTATAACAGTCATAGGAGCGCAACTTATGGCCTTACGACACTTTTTTAATAATAATTCCTTACCTAGAAAATTTGTTGTTTTTCACCATTTTCCGACAATTTAAGGAAATCGCCTTTAAGTCGAATTTTTTTTCTTTTTTTTTTTTTTTCAACTAAACATTAGCATCAACATGAGAGTGAATAGCTCTAAAACCGGCACACATGTAGATAAACTATTTTTGGCTTTGATTCAATAAAATCATAATATCGACCCGAAAAGTCGTGTCAGTGTCAAAAACATTTATCTGCTGTATCCATATAAATGCACACTTTAGAAAGTACAACACCTACAAGTATAGTACATGAATAATACATACATACACAAACTTGTAGACAATCTGCCCCACATAATACTAAATAAGGAGGTATCTATATAACCGAACGAAGGGAGATGACGAAGCAGTGAAGTGAATTGTGTTTACTAACCATATTTCTATTCTCTTGGTTATTGGTCTTTTCAACCTCTTTGAATGTTTAAAAATATGCCAGTAAGCATATACGCAGTGTTGTTGTTTGTATCGCTGTCGAAGTTCTATAACGAACAACTCAGACACAACTTTCGGGTACACGCTGCGTCATTAAGCAATCTTTAATGGCCATGATGTTAATGTTATCATCCAGGTCAGTGGATGAATTACATGAGGTGGTAGCAGTTGAAGCTGAAGCGCCTGTCGATGATAAGGGGTGTGAGGAACCTAAGAGTAGGCCAACTGCAGAGCCCGAACCCGGCGTACTGCCGCTAGTACTCAAAGCGGACGTTGTCTGTGAGGTGAGCATCATTGATGGCGAATGGCCTGCATAGTGTTGACTATTGTTTGAGGCATTACCACGCGCGCCCAACGTGCTATGATGCAGTGTATGATGATGATGATGATGATGCAAATTGACACGTCCTATGCTACCGCCCACACCCGAATTATTCGATGTTGTATGATGCAGACTGGACATGGCTGTGCCACTTGAACTGTTTATCAGACTGTTTAAAATATAACCACCGCCACTCCCAAGACCGGGTGGTAGAGTACCCACACCACTTGAATGTAATTGCTGTTGCAAATGAGTAGTGGCCGCTATGGTTGAGGTGGAAGCGAGCGATGTGGGTGAACCAATTATGTTGCACATCTCGTCGCCCCCACCAGACGAAATGTGACGATTTGTGTTGTTGTTATGCAGCAATGCAGCAGGGCTAGTAGTTGTCACAGTAGCTCCGGTATTAGTGGGTGATAACACTGAAATAGCAGCTAGAAGATGCGTTCGTGCGTTGATCTGATTGAAAGGTAGGGCTACTGTAGTGGTAGCTGCTATTACACCGCCACCACCACCTACCCCACCACTATTGTTACCCGCACTTGATTGCTGCATCATATTTGATTCAAAACTTTTGTTAGCGTGTTGCTGTTGTAAATGTCGATTGGGTTGCCATCCATACACGTGATGTGGTGCGTTAGCACGCAAATCATTTGCAGTACCATGAAAGTAAACAAAGCGAAAAGTGAAAAAGAAAAGGAGTTTTGTTAATACGATTGCTGTTGTTGTTGTTGTTCTGCTGCTTCTTGTTTCTTGTTTGTTTAACAATAGATGAAATTGTACTTGCTCGCATAGGCACTATAATAAGTCGCCTTTTCGTCGCTTTCTAGTCCTTTTTAAATTAAAAATTCAAATGAAAATTGCTCACTCATGATTTCAATTTGCAATCTTTAGCTCATGCAAACTGTCCCCGATTTTCCAGTACCTTAAGTGCATTTTATAAACCATCACTTTCTTTTTGCTTACTTTTCTCTTTACTTTATTTCTCTGTTTTACTTTCCTGCCATCAAATATTCAATTCCCAGCCAATTTCATTCAGTTGGTCAGTCGTCGTTATCTTGTTGTTCTTCTCATCTTTTCCTACATGCCGTCATATGCAGTTACAGTTTGTAATTTATGCATGCATTTGCTAATGGCATAAGTTTTATTAAAAAAATATATTTTTTTTTGAACGTAATTTAGAAGATTGAACGCATTGCGATACATATTTGAACAAACTTTACTATTCGTATTATTCATCGCCACACCCCCAACGCAATAGAGACACACTTTCATGCAATAAAAACACACCTTTCCAACATGTTTTTCTTACTGCAGATAAATGCTTAGTTACATGCATAGCTTGAGCAGAACTTTTGTTTATTTCATGCTGGGCGAGCACTTATGTTAGTTAGAATGATATTAAATTTTATATTTCATTTTTGTCTCCCGATCAATTAATAAAAAATTTATATTTTACTTGCTGCACTAATAAGAACTGTCATCTAATAATTATCAGCATTATTTCCATTAGTTACTTGGTTGTAATGAGAACTGCGCTGCTCAGCAAATACGTATCCCCTGTGCCGCATTAGTCGAGCAGGCAGTAGCCGCGCCAGTCAAGTCGGTATTCATAGGTTCAAATCTAAAGTACACTGAAGAAAAGTTTATTTTGGTTGTACATTCAGTAGGCGCATCCCACTTGCGGCTTGGGTACACATCCCGTAGGCTATAGATTTGTCTTCCTCCACTTATTACTGAATATCAACCTGTTACCCGTACGGGTAACATCGCTTGGTCCTATTAAAAACAAAAAATGCGGAAAAACTTGCGTTTGGTGACTAGGCCGCGTGGGCTAGTGCTTCCGAACCGATTTTACCCTTGGATGTACAGAATGATGTCACGAAAATCTTATGTTGCTTATTTGGACATTTCGCGAACGGTTAAAACGATTAGTTGTCGTTGTTTGCATCTAGCATTAAACTCCTCTCTAGACTTTAACAATTAACAACAGACCGCACCTCTTTGACCCCACCCAAAGAAGTATATCGTCTTTCTAGCAAGGCAATGGGATCTAGCCATGAATTTTTGAATTGGGGATCTTTAAAACAGATCAACTTTTAATTCCCTATTAGGATGCAATGGGAAACAGACTTTTGTTGGTATCGGTCCACACCCACAGAAGAAATGCTATCTGAGAATGAATGCTGTTTTTTTAACAAAAACATTTGTGTCGTAAAAGTATTTTTGCGTTACGGCATGTGTTGGCTTATTGTTGTCAGATGCCCAAGCTATTCAAGCTAAGTCATTTATGTCCACTACACGTGGCATTATGTACATCTACGATCAAATGCCGATTTCATATTTACATACGCGATAATTGGGGGCGAATCATACATGAAACTAATAATCGTTTAAATTTAAATAATTTCTTACTCGGTTAATATCAATTATATACGATCTGATATTCTAATTGTAGTCTAAAGTCACGTATTGTAGCTTAATCCACCTTTTGTTTGCATTTTTCGGTTTCATTCAGTTTTAATTATATAACTTTTATATAACACATGTACATGTGTTAAGAATGGTCTTCTCTCTATCTCTTTTGACAAAGATAAATTTCATCTTTGTTTACATCGCCCCTCTTGCCCCAAACATTCGTTCATTTCATTAACACCTATCCTATGTCTCAAAAGTCAGTTATAGATGTCGCATGTTTGCATGTTATATTACACCTAACTCACAAATTAAAAATCACTCTTTACTGACACTTCAAGTACTGGATTTCACATTGACAAACATATACGCAAACAAATAACGAAATAAAAATTCATGCGATATTTTTTCAATTATACTCACATTCGAACTGGGTGACCATTTTGATGTTGTTGAAAAATGATGGTTAACACTGCCATTGGTAGCGCCATTCGAAATGTTATTAGTAACACCGCCAACACCTCC